TATTTTGCCTTTAATGTAAATAAACATGTGCAAACAATATACTTGCTCTTGTGAATTTATTTTGATGTTAATTACATTGTGCGAGCTGTCTCTTTAATACTGCATGGTTTATATACATGTTGCTGCTGATTGGGCTGACATGTTTGACACACCCACCAAACAAGAAACGTATCTTAAACCCCGTTGCACACCGTTTCCAGAAACATGTCGTTCAAAACTGGAAAACATAGCAAAACGTTACGCACAGGTTTGGGCTTGAACGTGCCCCAGATCTATGTGTTCAGCACTGGCTGCTGTCAGACTCCTTGTGCAAACAAAAATCTCATTGGATTATTACAATTAATGGCAAATTTTCTCATTTTGTCTCTCATAGTTGAGGTATACCTATGATGAAAATTACAGGCCTCTCTCATCTTTTTAAGTGGGAGAACTTGCACAATTGGTGGCTGACTAAATACATTTTTGCCCCACTATATATATATATATATATATATATATATATATATATATATATATATAACAACAACATAAATGTACCTGAGAAGTAAAATTCTTTAAGACTATGAGAAATATATCTTGAATTGGATTTTGTCTCGTTCCAAACTTATTTTCACTTTTTAAGCATAAACCTCAATAAATGTATTATTTATTATTTATTATTATTATTTTCTAACAATTTTTGTTTTGATGGCTAAAAAAGCTCTTCACCAAGGGGGTTAAAGAAAAAAAATTGCCTGCAGGTAACGATATAGTTTCAGACTAATAAAGACCAAAACTGTGGAGAGTGAGCATTGTTAGAAACACTTTAAAGGCGTTTCTAACAATAACTTTTGAGGCGTGCAGTGCCTGTATAAATTGTTATGTGGTTGGAAAGACATCACAGGTGAAGTATCATACAAAAGAGAGGATCGATTCTGTACATGTATCAACACAGGCCATTTGCAAATGAACCGCAGTAGCAAATTATAGGGTTTTAAAACACAGTTTTCTGCAGTAGAAATAATACACTTAACCAATAAGTGAGCAATACCCAGTGCAGTACACAATCCATAATAGCTGAACCAGTACCATTTAAACCCACTCAAGCATAGTCCCCATTTAAACAAATGAGGCAGTTATTGTTTCATTTCTTTTTTACTACTGCTACTACAAGCCTGGAAATTGTGGATTTTAAGTAAAGAGCTGCCAAATTAAAGTAATGCAAAATTCAGAGAGGTCCAGAAGCTTTGCTTGTGAAGGAAGATTTGTCAGTCCATTCTGCCGCTTCAATAGGATCGATTTGTGGGTAAACAACAAAAAACACTCTTTGTCCCAGATATGTAGCCCACTCTGTAACAAAGATGACATATGTACACGCATTTAATTAATTAATTCATGAAATAATTTCATGGTTGTAAATAGTTCTCCCAAAAAAAAAATAATAATAGCTACTGTCATCATTTACCATATGCCTTTACAAACCATACAACTCATCCAATGTGTATTTAACTATTCTGAAGTCATATAATAGCTTTGCATGAGAAACAGACATACAATTAAGTTGTTATTCACTAAAAGCATTTGCTTCCACAGTTGTGAAAAATAAATGCACTTAATTGAATGTGTACTTCAAGTGCTAGTGTACTTAAAATCCTAAATGTATATATATATTTTTTTATATATATATATATCAAAATGTAAATTCATGTCCAGGTCACATTTTCTTGGTTAAATAAACATTACTTACACTATAAAAAAAAAATCTATTTCATGTTTTTACATTAACAACAATGTAATCAATATTCTATTTATTAAAGGCATGTATTAATCTCATCAAGTTAGTGTTTTTATGCATTTTACATTCATTAAAATAACTCACAACAGTATAATTTAAACAATATATTCAGCTATTCTTTTTAATAGTTAACTTTTAACTATTTTTGAAATTTTTTGGATCATCAGTCATCAAATCTCAGTGAATATTGGTCACAGACACGGAGATTTGTTTTAAATTTCACCAAGCTGAGTACTCACTAAAAACTCCATCAGAGCATGTTTTCATGCCATTTCAAGTCTTATTTTGACGTAACAAAGATGTTAAATCTAAGCGTGTGAGTTCTTTACTT